AAAGAAAAAACATAAAATAATTGATCTTTCGTCTCTCTGTGTTGTCATAATTTTCCTTCAATTTGCAAGAGGCTGAATGTACTGTATCACGCTGTATCTCACAGCGTCCCTCTATCTGTATGTGTAGGCCATCTATCTGATGCGGTCTGGTCATAAGGAGTATGACATTGTTGCCGCCCATAGCATGTGGTCCTCTGTAGCTCAGCTGGTAGAGCACGACGCTTGTAACGCTAAGGTAGTGGATTCGATCCCCGGGACCACCCATACACAAAAAAATAAAAATGTATGCACGCATGACTGTAAGTCGCTTTGGATAAAAGCGTCTGCTAAATGGCATATTATTATTATTATTGAATGCAAGGGAAGCCAGCGAGCATTTGGCCTCCCTTGATAAAAAAAAGTATAGATATTGTTTTTACTACTTGCACGAATGGATTGATCAACATTTTTAAACGAGTATTTTTCCATATATAGACATACCCTATGTGTTTTAATAAAACCAACTGAATGTACTGAACTTGTCTGATGCTTTAAGCATGCTGTTTGATTAAATAATGAAGACACACAAATGACTCAAGAGGGAGCCAGAGATCAAGATAGCCTAACCAGAAGAAAAAAAAACAGTTCCCGACCCTCCTTCTCCTGCTGCTGCTGGCCTTCGCAGATTCTGCTGTTATGCTCCTGAAGTTGCCGGTAATAGGCTACACCAGCGGTCGGCAACCTTTTCCATTTGGAGAGCCAATTTATCTTACCATTTATACCAATCTGCGTGCGTGCCAGTTATGGTTTCAAATCAAATCAAATGTTATTTGTCACATGCCGAATACAACAGGTGTAGACCTTACCGTGAAATGCTTACTTACAAGACCTTAACCAACAATGCAGTTCAAGAAATAGAGTTAAGAAAATATTTACTAAATAAACTAAAGTAAAAAATTAAATAAAAAGTAACACAATAAAATAACAATAACAAGGCTGTATACAGGTGGTACCGGTACTGAGTCAATGTGCGGGGGTACAGGTTAGTCGAGGTAATTTGTACATGTAGGTAGGAGTAAAGTGATAATAAACAGTGAGTAGCAGCAGTGTAAAAACAAATGTAAATAGTCCGGGTGGCCATTTTCATATGCACATTTTCGTGGAACAGTTTCATTTAATTTATAATAGTCTTTGTATCGCAAAATCATTGTCTGTGGTTAATCTACATTCTATCTAAATCTAAATGAAAATTATACAAATCTAAAAGTAACTCTTATTGCCATTGCCAACTATGTAATAGTAACCTACATAAAGCCAACACATAAAAACATTGCAGCCTGCAGGTAGGAAATATCAGGATAAAAATAAATATCCTATAAATTACATTGGCTACGCATGGCCTGTCTGCAACTACCTTGAAACATTGTATCAACTGGGTTGCCCCAAAACTTGAGCAAGCAAACTTGAAATGTATTAAATATTATGGGCCCTCAGAGTTTCCCATGCCAGTGAGCTCCGGACAGACACAGGTGTAGGCTATTTGTGCAAGGGATAAGAAGTAATTAGGTATTTTATGACGTTTCCACTGGATCAGAGCATTACATTTTTCGCTTTCATGCCGAGTGGTTATCAAAAGTGAGAGAGCTGGAAATACTGTTAAAATACTTTGAGGAACTATTGTCATTCTCAATTGACTTCATTTACTTGCTGTTTGAGGTGAAAAAAAAATTACTTTGAGAAGCTCCACTGCTCATTAGTGGTGGTGAATTAAGACAATTAGAAATACTATCAGACATCCCCAAATGGGCACATTTATAGGCTTACATTTGCACGCAGGCCAGGTAGACTAGTCCTACTTCTATATGTGTAATCAGGTGCACGTCCTTACTCAACATTGACAGGAGCGTTTCAAACAAAAGATTATGAATAAATTGACAAATATCGTAAATGTAATGAAATAAATAAAAACTCACAAGTGTAGCATAGGTTGTGAGTTCTGCAAAACACATGTTCACTCCGACAATGAGAATAAATTACCATAACCAAACAAACATTGCAGATTAGAAAAGATGGGAATTAATGGTAAATGTAGGTTACTACTGGTGATGTAAACAATGAATACCCACGAAATGGCGGGAGAGAGTGCATTCTGGAGAGACACGTGCCTTGTGCATCTGAGCCACAATCCCCATATTCTTGGACCATGGCATCCCTGTGGCCTCCTCAATGGATTAGTCCATTGAGACAGGCGCAAATCACACAGGTGTCTCGTGTGCATTGCGGCCCGTCATTCAGGGCAGGTGGGGCAGAGCCCTGAATGATGGGTCGCCACTGCACACAAGACACCTGTGTGATTTGCGCCTGTCTCAGTGGACTAATCCATTGAGAAGGCTGCAATGTTGTTGCTTGTTTTGCATGTTATTTTGGCATTAATACGTGTCACATGTCAGTTTGCAAACATAAAAAAGAATTATCATTGAATTAATAGAGCCGCATACAAACATGGTCTCTTTTTTGCTTTCTTGAGTAAGGCAGCTCCAAAATGCAAGTGTTTCAGCCTAGCTCAGTGCTTTCTGTGGTGGTGGGGCAGCCAGCAGAAAATACAGAGCATAGGGGTTAGTAATGTTCTCTAGTTGTGCCGTGATTGGCTCAGTGTTCTGTCACTCATGGGGACACTACGTCACAGCAAATTCTATGGGGAGAGCTCGACAATTCAAGCCCCTTGGGTGCTGCCATAGATTTACATTAGAAGTGCCCATCCAAGAAGGCTCAAGGTCATTGGCCACAAATAAAATGACGTCAAATCATGTTATATCTACCGTAGCTTTGATTGGACTGATCATGTCAACATCATACTTTCAAAATCTTAGCTAGCAAGCTAGACAAGCAGTCATCATCATGAATCTAGTCGACAATCTACTGGCAAATCCTTTTCAATCCTTGTCATATGAAGAGAAGTTATAGATAAAACGTATCGGTGCTCATCGGCCATTGGACATAAGCATTACACAACAAGTTGGAAATCGCAAATTCAACAATGAGTGGTTTGGAAGGAATCAGTGGCTAACTGCAAGCGTTGCAAAGCAATCACTAGCCTGCTATTCAGTTGCGTGGGTGTGTGGTCCAAGTCTGGGTTTAAGGGTCTCTTTTCCAAGCTTAAAAGGATAAACATTCACATACAACACCATGGGCCAGAAAATGTTGAATACATTGGCCATGCTGTCAATCCAGCATGACTTCTGCCGCGTTCAAAACATCTGAGAACTCGGAATTAAACGAGCTCCTACTGGGAAAATACTTTTGAACGGTCATCCAAGTTGGAATTCCAAGTCGGGAACTCAGGCCTCTTTCTAGAGCTCCGACCTGAAGATCACTGATGTCATGATTCAACCTTGTTTTTTTCAGAGTTCACAGTTGTCTTGAAAGCACCATAAATCCAGAGAATGCCAGACTTAGATGACAAAGTTTGATGACAAAATTTGCCCACAAAAAGGGCCGCCGCGCCACCTTCCTGTTCAAGTGAGCACAGAACAAAAATGTATTGTATGCTGCTGCATAATGATGTAATATGCCAGGGAGATATTTATACTGTAGCTAAGAAAGTACTACTAAGTGTATGTTGTGTAGTAAGCTGTTAGAAGCCCATGTGCCTCACCCTAATAACTTGGTCCCTTTCCCCCTCTTAACTTAGCCTACTTTTCTGACTTTGTGGTGCACATAGCCTGTTTTAGAGAAATGTAATCATCGAATATTGTAAGAGCTTTCATTGTCTGCTTATATGCCCCCTTTATTTATCCTACGGTTCTGACTTGGTGTACAGGGGGAATACTGTAATAACGGCCCATGTTCTGAATTCTGTCTCTGTACATTTCAAAAGTGCTGAACAAATAGTTATGTTGACTATGTCCTTCCTAGCTCACTCGTTGTCTTAATTGAAATTGTAATTGTCAGTCGAAACCACATTTGTTTAAGCAAGTCAGCCATATCAGCTATGTTTTTTTTAAAGGCAGTAAATGAGACTGAATGAACTGTTGCACTGCCAGACAAGGCTCCACTGATAGCCAGGTGTAGCTGTGTTAAGGATTCACTCCATAGTGCTGAAAAGAAAGCTCTGCTGTTGGGACAGCTTTATGAAGGCCCTAACAGTTTGTGGGCACCGTTTGATACCGCTATAGTGCAATATCCCCCTTTCCCTTTCCATATTAATTCATTGTTTAGTGTTGTGTTGTGTTGTGTAGTGGCTTTGTTGGCATGCATCCCAAAAAATGTTTTGGAGTTTGCCCCACCAAGATTTACATGCTAAAATCGCCACTGCTCGTGTCATGAAAATAATGTATCTATTTACGACTGCTCCACAAAAAGAATGTCATGTTTTCAATACAGACCCCTTTTGTCATACAGTAGACTATTCCATATAAGGCACCCAGACCTTATGAAAGTTGCACAGTATACCCTTAACCTTGTAATAAATCAAATCTAGTGATACATAACTTGACATTTCTGCCATCCATTGTGACATTGAGGGAGGATAACCAACCTTCCAATTAATGGCAATGCATTTCTTAGCCGCTATAAATGCCTGGTTACACAGTTTCTTCTGATAACAGTCTCCAGTATCAACGTTTCCAAGCAAACAAAAATAGGGAGAAGGGAGAGTCTGTAGACATGCTGAGATAAAAGAATATATTCTTTACCAGAATTCAGCCAGTCTTCACAAGATCATAACATATGCAAATATGTCCCCTTTTGCGTTTTACACTTCCATCAGAGGAATTACATTATGAGTGTATGATATTCAGTTTCATTGGTATATAGGATGTTCTATGGATGGTCTTAAACTGCAGTAATTTGTCTGAGATTATATGAATATGACAGGGCATTCAAACATATCTGTATCCATTCATCATCATCAATATTGAAACTGCAAAACAGCCTACCCGACCACTCTGAGGTGTCCGCCTGGTCCTAAAGCAAATGTTCCTATTTTTCGTATCACAGTGCAATGGTAAAACTGGGGGGGACAAAAATTCAATTTTAGAATGTGTGGGGGGGTCATGTCCCTCGCTGCTGACTGTGAACCTTCTTATCACGACCATCGTAAACATGCGCAGAAACAGCGCAAATCTGACGTTTGAGGAAGTTACGTGGCAGCTGCTAGCAACAAGCTAACTTCAAAACAACATGTTGTGGAGCACACAGCAGGTCAGTAGGCATTGGTTAGTTGTTTGCTCATCATGGTCAAATTATATCATAGATTACTCTAGTGTAAATGGATATGTCTGAGATTTAATTTACTACGGAGCTCAGTTTGATAGCCTTGGTCAGCTGATGACGTTGTTGTTATTCTTCCTGCTAGCTAGTTAGCTTTGCATTCCACACATTCTCTGTCTTTTGTTGTACAGAAATGGTTCCATCAAATCTTGGGGAAGAAATGTCTACTGAAGTAACGTTGCCACTTGAGTGGGAGGACGATGAACGGATGAATTTCCTATTCTCCGACTTCAAAGAAAACCGAGATGTCAACACAACAGATTGGGACAGTAAAATTGATTTCTGGACGTCACTCATTCTTAAAATCTGCAGAAGTCGCAGAACCGTCTGTATTAATTTGCAAGAGCTGAACAAGATTTTTCAGAGAAAAGGAATTGTACCTTTGGGTTTGGGTACTGTCATTCAGTGCATGGCCAGGTATAATATAATATCAATGCAATGCATCTGCTAAAGTGTGAGAAAAACAGCCTACCTAAATGTGCCCTAGTCCCACTATCCTTACCTTACTGTACTTGTCTGTATTCCTGGCAGGTGCGGCAAGATACAAAGGGAGTCAGAGTTTGCAGCAAATGTAGACTGTGGGTGGGTGTCTTGGGGTGTTGGCCTGTTACTGGTGAAGCCTTTAAAATGGACCTTTTCAACTCTTCTGGGTAGCAGTGGGGTTTCTTTGGAGGAGTCGTTTGTTGTCATTGAACTGGTAAAGGTGTGTATAATAAATTAATTCAAAACATGACCAAGGGGCTTGCAGGTTTATCCATTTAACACTAACCTTTTATTTTCTGTATGTTTCCTCCAGGAAAAGGCAGCAGAATTGCTTGGTGTCTACTGGAGCTCCCCAGTGGCCAACTGCTCTCTCCTGTCCTTCCAGGAGCTCCGGACACTGTCTTCCCATGTCTGTGTTGACGAGAGTACCCTGTGTATGGCTCTGCTACAGCTGCAAAGGGAGAAGCAGGTGACAGTATCACTGCATGAAGGCGAGAAGGTGAGTATATGAGAATCCTTCATTGAAGTTAGCATATTATTAGGCTACATTGTAGGCTACAGTAACTCATACCATTATCCATGAGCTTTCACACACATTGTTATGAGGATAATGTCACTGTGTCAATGTGTTGCTTTGAGCCAATGTTTTGTTTGTCTTTTCACAGATTGTTAAGTTTTCTCAGCCAGGACAGGACCGTGTGTCTTCAGTCAGTGATGTGGACCTAGGCATCTACCAGCTACAGCGCAGTGAGAGACTGCTTGAAGTGCGGGTGGAGGCATTGGGTCTAGAGGCAGAGAAGTGCGTCCCTGACACATCATTTAGTGTTGTCTCGTGCAGTCTTCAGTCTTAATTGCTTTTTTTTGTGTTTTTTTTGCTTGTGCTGTATTATCTTTTTGTAGGTGCAAAGAAGAAGCTAGGGTGTTGCTGCGGGAAGGGAAGAAATCTCAGGTAGATTTACAATCCTTTGATCCTGTGTTGACTTTTTGTCTTTCACCAAAACTCAAATGCTGTCTGGGAAACCTCAATACATTTTTCTCCCCCAGGCCCTGAGGTGTTTGAGAAGCCGAAAGAGAGTCGAGAGGAAAGCAGACCGCTTATATGCCCAGCTGGAGAATGTGAAGGGAATCTTGGACAGGATAGCAAACTCACAGACAGACAAACTGGTGAGTATGCACTTGATACATTGACATTCAAAAATCTAGCCAAAACAGAGCAAGCGCTAAATTTAGCCTAAATGTGCAATGTGGGTAATTTGTGGGTGATGTTATTACTCTTCTGAGTTCTACATGCAGTAACTAAGGTCTTCTTTTCTCTTTGTATGACTCTTTCTGCATGTCTCTATAGGTGATACAGGCATATCAGGCTGGAGTGTCAGCCCTGCGACTCTCTCTGAAGGATGGGACTGTAGAAGGAGCTGAGAGCCTTGTCGATCAAATCCAAGAGGTCAGACTCTTCTTAACTGAGACTGCATTTAGGTGCTGTTATTGACAGTGGTGTAAAGTACTTAAGTAAAAATGCTTTAAAGTACTACTTAAGTTGTTTTTTGGGGTATCTGTACTTTACTATTTATATTTTTACAACTTTTACTTCACTACATTCCTAAAGAAAATAATGTTTTTTTTACTCTATACATTTTGCCTGGTCATCCCTACTGCCGCTAATCTGGCGGACTCACTAAACACACATGCTTCATTGGTATTATGTCTTGAGTGTTGGAGTGTGCCCCTGGCTATCTGTAAAAAATAAAAAATAAAGAATGGTGCCGTCTGGATTGCTTAATAAAATGTATTTGAAATGATTTATAGTTTTAATTTTGATACTTAAATATATTTAAAACCAAATACTTTTAGACTTTTACTCAAGTAGTATTTTACTGGGTTACTTTCACTTTTACCTGAGTCATTTTCTTTTAAGGTATCTTTACTCTTACTCAAGTTTGACAATTTGGTACTTTTTCCACCACTAATTATTGAGCTGTTGCATGTCCACATCAATCTAAATGTATTTTCTCGCTGTTTGGTATTACAGTTGTGTGACACTCAGGATGCAGTGAACCAAACTTTGGCTGGTGGAGCGCTCAACTCAAGTATGTCCTATCCCATATAATACAGCTACTTGGTTGTAGTGCCTAACTTAGACAATTTCATAATTACATTTCCAATATCCAGAGGGTCTGAGAAATTATCAATGATCCTATTGATATTTGTTTAGCGGATGCAGACACAGACGAGCTGGAGGATGAGCTGAGATCTTTATTGGAGAACTCTACTCTGGATGGCCCTTCCACGCTTCCTGAAGTACCATCACACCCTCTATCACCGGTCAGGGAATCTGGTTCCCTTTGTGATGATCTGCTGAGTGCTTTGCCCTTAGTCCCTCAAAGCCACTTCAATATCACAGATGAGGAACTGGACAAAGAGCTGAGTCGCCTAACCCTTGCAGATACATGTATGCCTCTATCTTGTTCCTTTATCTTTTAAATACTACCACAAAAGAGGCTACTGAAGTAACCTTTGTTTACGCATCACTCCCATAGGTCTTCAACTAAAAGATCATACCTCGCCAGTGAAGAGGGCTGAGCCTGCACAGTGACAACACTAATAAAAGAAGTCAACTGCAATATTACCCTGACCCTCAGAGTTTTTGGGCACGGTGATCAAAAATAATTGTGATATGTATTTTGTAACATGCTTATTGATGTCTGTGATCACGATGATACACTTTTTAAATGTACTTATAAGTGGCCTTTGTGAAGTTTATGTATCACTCACTCTAATAAAGATATCGGTAACAATCATGATGCCAAATTATAAAGCCACTATTTCAGATTGACTGTAATGGGGTTGGGTTGTATAACAATACCATTATCAGTTATATGCCAAATACAGTGCATTTGGAAAGTATTCAGACCCCTAGACTTTTTCCACATTTTGTTACGTTAGCCTTATTCTAAAATTAATAACATATTTTTTTCTCATCATCTACACACAATACCCCATAATGACAAAGGGAAAACAGGTTTTTAGAAATGTTTGCAAATGTATTAAAAATAAAAAACATAAATAACTTATTTACATAAGTATTCAGACCCTTTGCTTTGAGACTTGAAATTGAGCTCAGCTGCGTCCTGTTTCCATTGGTCAACCTTGAGCTGTTTCTACAACTTGATTGGAGTCCACCTGTGGTAAAATCAATTGATTGGACATGATTTAGAAATGCACACACGTGTCTATATAAGGTCCCACAGTTGACAGTGCATGTCAGAGCAAAAACCAAGCCATGAGGTCGAAGGAATTGTCTGTAGAGCTCCGAGACAGGATTGTGGCGAGGCACAGATCTCGGGAAGGGTACCAAAAAATGTATGCAGCATTGAAGATCCCCAAGAACACAGTGGCCTCCATCATTCTTAAATGGAAGAAGTTTGGAACCACCAAGACTCTTCCTAGAGCTGGCTGCCCGGCCAAGCTGAGCAATCGGGGGAGAAGGGCCTTGGTCAGGGAGGTGACCAAGAACCCGATGTTCACTCTGACAGAGGTCTAGAGTTCCTCTGTGGCGATGGGAGAACCTTCCAGAAAGACAACCATCTCTGCAGCACTCAACCAATCAGTGTAATGGAACGTGTTGCCTTGTGTGGTATGTTTTGGGGTTTTGACTCATGTACAGTGGGGGAAAAAATTATTTAGTCAGCCACCAATTGTGCAAGTTCTCCCACTTAAAAAGATGAGAGAGGCCTGTAATTTTCATCATAGGTACACGTCAACTATGATCCAGAAAATCACATTGTAGGATTTTTAATGAATTTATTTGCAAATTATGGTGGAAAATAAGTATTTGGTCACCTACAAACAAGCAAGATTTCTGTCTCTCACAGACCTGTAACTTCTTCTTTAAGAGGCTCCTCTGTCCTCCACTCGTTACCTGTATTAATGGCACCTGTTTGAACTTGTTATCAGTATAAAAGACACCTGTCCACAACCTCAAACAGTCACACTCCAAACTCCACTATGGCCAAGACCAAAGAGCTGTCAAAGGACACCAGAAACAAAATTGTAGACCTGCACCAGGCTGGGAAGACTGAATCTGCAATAGGTAAGCAGCTTGGTTTGAAGAAATCAACTGTGGGAGCAATTATTAGGAAATGGAAGACATACAAGACCACTGATAATCTCCCTCGATCTGGGGCTCCACGCAAGATCTCACCCCGTGGGGTCAAAATGATCACAAGAACGGTGAGCAAAAATCCCAGAACCACACGGGGGGACCTAGTGAATGACCTGCAGAGAGCTGGGACCAAAGTAACAAAGCCTACCATCAGTAACACACTACGCCGCCAGGGACTCAAATCCTGCAGTGCCAGACGTGTCCCCATGCTTAAGCCAGTCCAGGCCCGTCTGAAGTTTGCTAGAGTGCATTTGGATGATCCAGAAGAGGATTGGGAGAATGTCAGATGAAACCAATATAGACATTTTTGGTAAAAACTCAACTCGTCGTGTTTGGAGGACAAAGAATGCTGAGTTGCATTCAAAGAACACCATACCTACTGTGAAGCATGGGGGTGGAAACATCATGCTTTGGGGCTGTTTTTCTGCAAAGGGACCAGGACGACTGATCCGTGTAAAGGAAATAATGAATGGGGCCATGTATCGTGAGACTTTGAGTGAAAACCTCCTTCCATCAGCAAGGGCATTGAAGATGAAACGTGGCTGGGTCTTTCAGCATGACAATGATCCCAAACACACCGCCCAGGCAACGAAGGGGTGGCTTCGTAAGAATTATTTCAAGGTCCTGGAGTGGCCTAGCCAGTCTCCAGATCTCAACCCCATAGAAAATCTTTGGAGGGAGTTGAAAGTCCGTGTTGCCCAGCGACAGCCCCAAAACATCACTGCTCTAGAGGAGATCTGCATGGAGGAATGGGCCAAAATACCAGCAACAGTGTGTGAAAACCTTGTGAAGACTTACAGAAAACGTTTGACCTGTGTCATTGCCAACAAAGGGTATACAGTGATCCCTCGCCACTTCGCGGTTCACTTATCGCGGATTCGCTATTTCGCGGATTTTCATAATGCATTTTTTTTTTTTGGTGCATTGTGCTCTGCATTCTGATTCGCTAAAAAACTCACTCCCGCTTCTTGTATCAAAACATGCTACGAATTGTGCTATCATTTTGTCGTCTCGTGCAGTTATGTGTACGTACATAAAACAGCTTGGCAAATTACATTAAGTTTGGGCCAAATTATCTTGTAATTTCGAACATCTCCTAAACCCATAATGTCGACGAAACGGCCTGGACCGACAAAAGCACCTGCGGATGGGCCCAAACGGCGGAAGATGCTACCTATCTCAGATAAAGTTAAACTTCTGGACATGCTAAGGGAAGGTAAATGACAAAGCCACAAAGCGACGATGAAAGAGAAGAGGGAGAAGAGGACACGAGAGATGAGGAGGAAGGACTAACGCTTGGTCGCTTAGCAACCATGGTGCGAATGGCCACTGAACTTAAGCGAGTAGCTGAGGAATGGGACCCTTTGATGAGCCGTTCATTACAGTTCTCCAACGTAATCGATGGTGGCATGTCGGTGTACAAGGATCTTTTTGCAAAGAAGAAAAAAGAGCGACAACAGCTGCCTATCACTATGTTCTTCTCCCGAACAAACACACCTGCACCGCGGGCTTCAGAAGAAGAGAACACTGCAGAGCGCAGTCAGGATGCAGCGGCCCAGTCTGAAGAGCAGTGAAACGGCCTACACGTGAGTCACTGTATTTGTATACATGTAATAGTTGCTAATTGTAAAAAAAAAAAGTTTTCTATTTCGCGGATTTCACTTATCGCGGGTCATTTTCGGAACGTAACCCCCGCGATAAACGAGGGATTACTGTATAACAAAGTATTGAGAAACTTTTGTTATTGACCACATACTTATTTTCCACCATAATTTGCAAATAAATTCATTAAAAACCCTACAATGTGATTTTCTGGATTTTTCTTTCTCATTTTGTCTGTCATATTTGACGTGTACCTATGATGAAAATTACAGGCCTCTCATCTTTTTAAGTGGGAGAACTTGCACAATTGGTGGTTGACTAAATACTTTTTTTCCCCACTGTAGGTGTCATAACTAGCCATAAAATAATGCAATATGACACAACAGGTCTAAATAGATGTGTCATGACAGTGTTCATACCAAGTAAAGTGTTACCCAGTTTTCTTTCTGTTTCCTTGTTGTCAGTGAAGTTGCAAATGTTTCTTCATTTGTGGCAGCTTGGAGTTCGTTGCCTGCCACAGTTTCCTTGCAGATCTGGGAAAGCTATCAGAATACTCAATAGCTTCTTGAGACATTGGAATGTTGCGCAAGGAAATAATTTGCTCAATTACCCAAATCTGCAGGGGCACAAAGCAGATTTGCTTTAAGAAGGACACTGTGTGACTACTTAGAACAGGGATGGACAACTTTGTTGGGGGTGGGGGCCACAAAAAAAATCTAAACTCATGATGAGGGGCAGCAAGAGAAACTGTTCATGCACAACTACATTTCAAAATTGCACCTTGTGTATTCTACCTCGTAACAGTAAATTGAGACCCCCCCCCCCCAAAAAAAAGGATCAGAGGGCCTTCAAAGGGTGGGCCAGAACTGGCTACACCAGTGAACGACGCCAGGGAGTGCTAAGTATGGGAGATCGCCAAGGATGAAAAACAATCGCCTGCACCTTTACTAGCGACGTCACTCACATCTGCCTGACCTGCGCACTGAATAGCTAGCTATTCCTCCCACTAGTATTAGTAACAATACTCAGCAGCAAACGTGCTAATGTAAATGTTATGCAACGAAGTCGTTCGAAACGCAAGGGTAAGTACAATTCAAGTTTGGTTTTAGATGGACCGTGGGCATAGCATACTCGCCTAGTACAGGGCAGGGGCTAACGGTAGCCTAGCCAATACCCCGGCTATCGTAGTTGGCTAGCTAGTTAGCCAGTGATCTGTTTGTTTCGCTAGCCAGAAACCAAACATTCGCCCGGTTAATCAGCTTGCTAGCTAACAGGTCTATTGTTTACCCAATAAACTAGGAAACGCTACCTAGCCAGCTAAAGTATTCTCTTAGTTAACTAAACCAGCTAGCTAACTAGTTGAAATCGGACCAGCATCATTACATTATGCAATTCAGTACCGTTACTACGTGGCAGTGCTAGTGTGACCAAATTTCACCATTGGGTTTTTGACGCGTTAGTATCGATGTCATTAGTAATAATTACCACTTAGTTTGTATCTAACGTGTTTTATTTTATTTTGTCAAGACCATGAGCAGATGGAGAAATAATGGTGAGGCTCTGAAGCCAACACCCCCGGTATCCAGTTTCCCCTTTGAATGATTTTCATCCAGTGAACTAGGACAGTCCACGTCATGGGAAGGTAGGCTCGACCGACTGAGTAGAGCTACATTTGGCAACATATTTTGCTCTACCCTTTAATTATAATGCTGTGGTCGTCAGTCATGCAATGCCGCTATTATATAGACAGTGTATTTAACCATACATACTGAGGTCTCACTTGTCCATACAGGATCAGCTTCTCGTGCCTCCCAGCCTCGTGGCACTTCAGCCTGTCACCCCTGGTTCTTCCCCGTCTCCTGCTACCTTCATTCAGGCAGCTGCTCTTATTTAGTCTGCTGGTGGGATTGCTCGGACTGCTTTACCTGTTGCTGGTAACAGGAAAGGGCCAGGACAGCTGGATCAGAAAGGACAACTACTTCCACAGGCGAGTCACTAGTAGTGGCACATTAGAAGATGTCATTACGTATTCCTGTAAAGACAAGGAAGAAAATGTTTGGCTGAATTTGGCATAAAATTGTCATCTTTTCATTCACCTCTGATCACCAGACACTTGGCGAGAGTCACAGATGTGGAGGCCACCGACACCAGCAATCCCAACCTGAACTACGGTTTGGTGGTAGACTGCGGTAGCAGTGGCTCCAGGGTGTTTGTGTACTGTTGGCCCCAGCACAATGGTAATCCCCATGATCTGCTTGACATACGACAGATGAGAGACCAGCACAGGAAACCAGTGGTCATGAAGATCAAACCAGGTGAGACATACCTGGTTGCATACCTGGCTTCTAGTTTAAAGCACTCATCCATTCCCCCAAGAAAGACTGAGCCATGGTCTTATTACTTTGTGATGTTATTTTTTGTAGGCATCTCAGAGCTAGCAAAAACACCAGAGAAGGCCAGTGATTACATCCACCCCCTGCTGAGCTTTGCTGCCCAGCACATCCCCAAACACAAGCACCAGGAGACCCCTCTGTACATCCTGTGCACAGCTGGAATGAGGGTGCTGCCTGACAGGTACACCCCAACTGAGAGTATTTCTCATCTTGAGATGGAAGCTTGCAAGTGTTGTTTTTATTTTATTTTATTACCGCTGTGACCTCCATGCTAAAATTGGCTTGTATACTCCTTTTCAGTCAACAGGAAGCACTTCTGGAGGATCTACGGACCGATATCCCTGTCCATTTCAACTTCCTCTTTTCTGATTCCCATGTGGAGGTCATTTCTGGCAAGCAGGAAGGTGAGCTAACCTGTTTAGAGTAGCAGGCAAGCTAAACACTGGCCATTCTGATGGAGGATGTCACCATCTGTGTTGAAAATGTGTAACACAACAGTAAAAATACTGGAATATATGAATAGTCCTTTCTTGTTTTTGGACAGGTGTGTATGCATGGATTGGAATCAACTTTGTCCTTGGAAGGTTTAATCACGTGGCTAGTGGTAAGTATTTAAATAAATGTACTTAAGAGATCTGCATATCTTCACATTGAATACTTTAATTCCCTCATTCCCTTATTTTACTTACCTCTGACACTTCTCTTTATTTGTCTCCCTTTCCATTCCCTTCTTCAATGGGACCCTTGGATCCTTCCCCTATCCTTCCTATAGAGAGAGATGCAGTAGTAGAGGTGCAGGTACCTGGAGGTGACCAGCAGGAGGCGCTGGTGAGGAAAAGGACAGCTGGTGTTCTGGACATGGGGGGTGTCTCCACTCAGATAGCGTATGAAGTGCCCAAAACTGTAAGCTTTGCTTCTCCACAACAGGTTATTATCAACAACAATTTCCCTTTTTTGTGCTCTTTTTTTTAATTTGTCACTCACACATTTTCTCTCCCCCCCCCACCACCACCACTCTCATTCCCTGGTTAAACCTGTAAACATCATGTTTGTCCTCTGGAGATGAAGTCCTCTCCATTCAGGGTGGACTATTGGAGGTCTGCTCTAAAGATAAGCCTGCTGCATTGCTTCATAGCAGAATGTGTTAGTTCAAACTTTAATTAAAAGGTAGACTCAGCGATATAACTTAGATGCAGACTGTAAACCGCATAGTGGGTCAATTTCCGCAACAGCTAAGAGCGTTGATGTGCAAGAATCAACTTCTTCGCTGTTTTGGTCCCCTGGCTACCATGCTGTAACAGCGTGAAGCGAACCCATGTGCAGATACTGTGTCTGTAGCTAGGTTTCCATCCAATTGGCAACAGATTTTCATGCGGATATTCTAAAATATGCATTTTCCCACCAGATTCCATCAACTTGACTTGTTGTGGATAAAAGGCTGTGCGTGATGTCGTAGTGCACATAAAAATACAATTTGCGGTTAAATAAATACTCATTAAATGGGTTTCCATCGCATTTAACTCTACTAATTGTTTTCTCACAAAAAAATGTTGCGTTATATAGCGAGTGCGCCCACAACAGCTCGCAGATACAGTGTGGGTATAGCCTACATGATGAGATTATTATGAACAAAATAGATGATCATGTCACCTGAATAAGATCCTCGATATTTATTGGAAAGGAGTATCAAGCTCATCACCTTGCACCTTCACCACCCTGTGAAGTTAAACTTATTTCATCTGTAGCCTAACAAACTGCATGCTTCCCCGACGAGTCGTAGTAGGAGGACCACACATGTCATCGCGTGACTTTACTTTACTTCAATATGATGGTTATTATGTCAATATTTGTGTGCAGGTGTTTCCACCGGCATTTCTTGCATAATTTTACCGACACAAAAAGATCCCACCTTTTTTTCTAGGGTATTTTGTTTTGTCGACATTTGCAAAGTTTCCATCAGGCATGTTATGACTTTTTTTATCCAACATGTACTTTACTTGCATAAAAAGGTTGGATGGAAACCTGGTTACTGTGTGAGAGAAAAGTCTTGCATCTCGCTCATCTCAATATCTGCGGTGCTGCTCGTGGCAACGTCATTTCGCTGAGTCTACTTTTAAGATCACAGATAATGCATGAGACATCATGCAAAATATCCATGACCAGATAGATATTCATTCATAATATGTTAATCTAAAGCAGTCCAAGTCCATCAGATTTTCAGTCCTGCTCAATTATTTTTGCCAGTTCACAAAAATGTCTGGTTTTTAATTTACTCTGACAATTTGCATGCTCTCTTACTCTACTCATTGTTTGTGCTCTCCACTGAACATAATTCACCTGCAGCTTTTTCTAAATTAACTTGATATAACTGTCATCTTGATCGAAGTTTCTTTAAGTAAATGGTTGTTATACATGTAGCCTTTCTATTATCAATGAATATGTTGGATATTAGTGTAGACATAGTCCTAGATAATAAAGAGAATATCATTTCCTGGCTGATATTATTTTTTTATAGGAGGAAGTGGCCAAGAACTTACTTGCAGAGTTCAACCTGGGTTGCGATGCCCACCGGACAGAGCATGTCTACCGGGTGTATGTGTCCACCTTCCTGGGCTTTGGAGGCAATGCTGCTCGACAAAGATACGAGGAGAGCATTGTCAGGAACACTCTCACTAAAAACAAGTAAGAACCTTCAACACAAATGCTATGATAGCTAATGATGATACTGATAGTTTACTAGTTTGACATTGCTCAGTGCTGTCTTTGCTTGTCATTATGGAGAGCTCATTTGAGTTGGTTTGTCCAGGCTCCTGGGTCAGCATGTAGGTGAAACAGCAGAGTCCCCCCTCCTGGACCCGTGTCTACCCACAGACCTGCAGGACGAGGTGGGGCCAGCCACACAGAAATTCCACCTGCGTGGCACAGGGGACTTTGATCACTGCAGACAGCTGCTTCAGCCCTTCCTCAACCGCACCAACGAGACTCATGCCTCCCTCAATGGCATCTACCAGCCTCCCATCGACTACCCCAACAGCCAGTTCTATGGGTTCTCTGAGTTCTACTACTGCACAGAGGATGTGTTGCGCATGGGCGGTGATTTTAACTCCTCAAAGTATTCAATTGCTGCCAAGGTGAGCCATTACCACAGCAAAGCAGCACTTCTTCAATGTACAGTGGGGGAAAAAAGTATTTAGTCAGCCACCAATTGTGCAAGTTCTCCCACTTAAAAAGATGAGAGGCCTGTAATTTTCATCATAGGTACACGTCAACTATGACAGACAAATTTGAGAGAAAAAATCCAGAAAATCACATTGTAGGATTTTTAATGAATTTATTTGCAAATTATGGTGGAAAATAAGTATTTGGTCAATAACAAAAGTTTCTCAATACTTTGTTATATACCCTTTGTTGGCAATGACACAGGTCAAACGTTTTCTGTAAGTCTTCACAAGGTTTTCACACACTGTTGCTGGTATTTTGGCCCATTCCTCCATGCAGATCTCCTCTAGAGCAGTGATGTTTTGGGGCTGTCACTGGGCAACACGGACTTTCAACTCCCTCCAAAGATTTTCTATGGGGTTGAGATCTGGAGACTGGCTAGGCCACTCCAGGACCTTGAAATGCTTCTTACGAAGCCACTCCTTCGTTGCCCGGGCGGTGTGTTTGGGATCATTGTCATGCTGAAAGACCCAGCCACGTTTCATCTTCAATGCCCCTGCTGATGGAAGGAGGTTTTCACTCAAAATCTCACGATACATGGCCCCATTCATTCTTTCCTTTACACGGATCAGTCGATCTGGTCCCTTTGCAGAAAAACAGCCCCAAAGTATGATGTTTCCACCCCCATGCTTCACAGTAGGTATGGTGTTCTTTGGATGCAACTCAGCATTCTTTGTCCTCCAAACACGACGAGTTGAGTTTTTACCAAAAAAGTTATATTTTGGTTTCATCTGACCATATGACATTCTCCCATCCTCTTCTGGATCATCCAAATGCACTCTAGCAAACTTCAGACGGGCCTGGACATGTACTGGCTTAAGCAGGGGGACACGTCTGGCACTGCAGGATTTGAGTCCCTGGCGGCGTAGTTTGTTACTGATGGTAGGCTTTGTTACTTTGGTCCCAGCTCTCTGCAGGTCATTCACTAGGTCCCCCCGTGTGGTTCTGGGATTTTTGCTCACCGTTCTTGTGATCATTTTGACCCCACAGGGTGAGATCTTGCGTGGAGCCCCAGATCGAGGGAGATTATCAGTGGTCTTGTATGTCTTCCATTTCCTAATAATTGCTCCCACAGTTGATTTCTTCAAACCAAGCTGCTTACCTATTGCAGATTCAGTCTTCCCAGCCTGGTGCAGGTCTACAATTTTGTTTCTGGTGTCCTTTGACAGCTCTTTGGTCTTGGCCATAGTGGAGTGTGACTGTTTGAGGTTGTGGACAGGTGTCTTTTATACTGATAACAAGTTCAAACAGGTGCCATTAATACAGGTAACGAGTGGAGGACAGAGGAGCCTCTTAAAGAAGAAGTTACAGGTCTGTGAGAGCCAGAAATCTTGCTTGTTTGTAGGTGACCAAATACTTATTTTCCACCATAATTTGCAAATACATTTATTAAAAATCCTACAATGTGATTTTCTGGATTTATTTTCTCAATTTGTCTGTCATAGTTGACGTGTACCTATGATGAAAATGACAGGCCTCTCTCATCTTTTTAAGTGGGAGAACTTGCACAATTGGTGGCTGACTAAATACTTTTTTCCCCCACTGTAGATGGCACTCCTAACTGCATGGAAATGCATGTATTTCACCATAGCTTAGGCTAACTGCAGTAAGATGGTGGCTGTGTTTACCAATCTTCTTTGTGCTTCATCTCCAGGGTTACTGTGCCACCCAGTGGAGATCTCTGAAAGAGCGATTTGACTCGGGCTTGTATGCATCTCACGCTGATGTTCACAGGCTCAAGTAAGTCCCACCACCAGCTCTGGCTATTTAGGAAGACTTGAGTCCAGTAATAGGAAAGCGTTTTCAATGAGAATTCATGTTAACATTTATGTCTTGTGCAGGTACCAGTGTTTTAAATCAGCCTGGATGTATGAGGTATTCCACTCAGGCTTCTCCTTCCCTATAGACTACAAAAACTTGAGGACTGCCCTCTTAGTCTATGATAAAGAGGTGCAATGGACTCTTGGAGCCATCCTTTACAGAACCCGCTTTCTGCCTTTAAGGTAAGAGAACACTTGCTGTGTCACACTTCATCATGCTTGAACATTGTGATAGCCAATATATTTTAGCTGATTAGGTTATGGAGAATAATGAAAAATAGTCAAATGTCCTTCACTCACACTACTTTACTTTCCTCTCCAAGGGATATTCAGCAGGAGAGCCTGAAAGGAGTCCACGCCCACTGGCGTCACAGCTTCTCCTTTGTCAACAACCACTACTTGTTTCTGGCCTGCTTCCTGGTTGTCCTCCTGTCCATCCTGCTCTACTTGCTGCGACTCCGACGTATCCACAGCTGTACCACGCAGCGCTGCACCCCCTCTACTGTTGAGTGGCTAGAGGAGGGTCTGGGATCCCCCTCACTCCCTATCACCCTCTAGACTTCAACTTTCACTCCAAAACCAGTCTTGCCCTCTTCCTTTCCCCATTTGCCTGCACTTTTATGTTAAGGCCTTAATTTGTTAGCTGGTAATGACAAAAAACACTCAAACTGAATTGGATTTTTAATGAGTCCAATGAACAGAGACATCAAAAACAGCACTGGGAGGGACTCTGGTGTGGGAGATCTTGCATGTTGAGTTTGCATACTTGAGTTAGCCATGAGATTGTCTTTTTTTTTTTTTTTTTTATGATGTCAAAATATCTGCCTTTTTTATGTTGCTGGAAATGTGAACGAGGTACTAAGAGTGTAACTATCCTTTCCTGAGGTTTGTGAGCTCCCATCCATACTTTGTCCAGTCACGCAGGCTTGTTAAAGCTTCCTGTAAGGGTCGAATAGCAGCTGCCTCATAACTTTCCCAAATTAGTCAATCTAAAACAGCACATTTTAAGAAAGTCCCTAAATTAATGTACACTGCTAAAAAAAATAAAGGGAACACTAAAATAACACATCCTAGATCTGAATGAATGAAATAATCTTATTAAATAATTTTTTCTTTACATAGTTGAATGTGCTGACAACAAAATCACACAAAAATGATCAATGGAAATCAAATTTATCAACCCATGGAGGTCTGGATTTGGAGTCACCCTCAAAATTAAAGTGGAATCCACACTACAGGCAGATCCAACTTTGTAATGTCCTTAAAACAAGTCAAAATTAGGCTCAGTAGTGTGTGTGTGTGGCCTCCACGTGCCTGTATGACCTCCCTACAACGCCTGGGCTGCTCCTGATGAGGTGGTGGATGGTCTCCTGAGGGGTCTCCTCCCAGACCTGGACTAAAGCATCCGCCAACTCCTGGACAGTCTGTGGTGCAACGTGGCGTTGGTGGATGGAGCGAGACATGATGTCCCAGATGTGCTCAATTGGATTCAGGTCTGGGGAACGGGCGGGCCAGTCCATAGCTTGCAGGAACTGCTGACACACTCCAGCCACATGAGGTCTAGCATTGTCTTGCATTAGGAGGAACCCAGGGCCAACCGCACCAGCATATGGTCTCACAAGGGGTCTGAGGATCTCATCTCGGTACCTAATGGCAGTCAGGCTACCTCTGGCGAGCACATGGAGGGCTGTGCGGCCCCCCAAAGAAATGCCACCCCACACCATGACTGACCCACCACCAAACCGGTCATGCTGGAGGATGTTGCAGGCAGCAGAACGTTCTCCAAGGCGTCTCCAGACTGTCACGTGCTCAGTGTGAACCTGCTTTCATCTGTGAAGAGCACAGGGCGCCAGTGGCGAATTTGCCAATCTTGGTGTTCTCTGGCAAATGCCAAACGTCCTGCACGGTGTTGGGCTGTAAGCACAACCCCCACCTGTGGACGTCGGGCCCTCATACCACCCTCATGGAGTCTGTTTCTGACCGTTTGAGCAGACACATGCACATTTGTGGCCTGCTGGAGGTCATTTTGCAGGGCTCTGGCAGTGCTCCTCCTTGCACAAAGGCGGAGGTAGCAGTCCTGCTGCTGGGTTGTTGCCCTCCTACGGCCTCCTCCACGTCTCCTGATGTACTGGCCTGTCTCCTGGTAGCGCCTCCATGCTCTGGACACTACGCTGACAGACACAGCAAACCTTCTTGCCACAGCTCGCATTGATGTGCCATCCTGGATGATCTGCACTACCTGAGCCACTTGTGTGGGTTGTAGACTCCGTCTCATGCTACCACTAGAGTGAAAGCACCGCCAGCATTCAAAAGTGACCAAAACATCAGCCAGGAAGCATAGGAACTGAGAAGTGGTCTGTGGTCACCACCTGCAAAACCAGTCCTTTATTGGGGGTGTCTTGCTAATTGCCTATGATTTCCACCTGTTGTCTATTCCATTTGCACAACAGCATGTGAAATGTATTGTCAATCAGTGTTGCTTCCTAAGTGGACAGTTTGATTTCACAGAAGTGTGATTGACTTGGAGTTACATTGTGTTGTTTAAGTGTTCCCTTTATTTTTTTGAGCAGTGTATTTTCCAATTAAAGTGCACAGCATTGAATCAATGTGAATAGCTAATAGCAGGTTTGAGGACGATAGTGAAACCGTTACTGTTTAGAGTACATACTGTATTAGCTCATGTATAGATTCTCTGTTCTTGAGTAGAGTTTCACTTCCTTTTCTGTCACATTATCCTGATGCAATTTCATTTGTTTGTGTACTAGCATCTCTGTTTGCCGTTTGGGTGCATGATCAGTGAATGTTTATTTATTGTGGGGAGGAATGGTGTGTGCGCCTCTGCTCACCCTCAGTGTACTACTCTGAAAGTGTAGACAGACACCTGTCATACTTACTTTGATTGTCACTGCTTCTTTTTTTACTTTAGTTTATTTGTGTCCTTTGTTCTGCCTTGTATTGCAGAACAGGTAGTGTTTATCAAAGCTGCAATGGTGCAATATTTATGAATGTCTTATCACTGGAGAGACGCTCCAGTCCACATCAGCTGAATCCACACAGAGGGCTCAGAGCTACAGTAGGGTAAAACTCTGCTGTCTTTTCAGCTCAATGGTGTCATGTGATGGGGTGCAGATAATTTAATTTGGAATCTCGACATATACCCTCAAACACACTGGGCTTCGTTTTCAGAAGCTGTGATATCAATGCTGTAACGGGGGTAGTTTATGAAAGTATATAGGACATACTTATATTGAAGGGTGTACTTAGATCAATTTACGGTTTGCACAGGATTTTTTTTGTTTTACAATACCATTGGTGTTGAATAATAAAAATATACAGATTGTTTTGAGATTTATGGTTCAACATTTCTACAAAAGCTACAAAAATCAAACGCAATCTGTTTATGATTTTCACATGTGGATATATTGGGTGCCCTTGTCTTGAGGAGAGTTTGATGGAAATTGCTGATGAGTTTGAGTCCCCCCTGGTGACATAAGTATAGAGTAAACAAAGACATGCATATTTACAGCAGCCATAGTCAGGGTTTACAAGTCCCCAGTAGCACGGGAAGAAAAGGCATGTACCACAAGGATATCAATCAAGACGACTAAGCTGCAGACAGCCTCTAATGACCAGGTCACCCAAGCAGAATTCGCCCGTTAGAGGCCACGTTGTTGTAGCCGGCCTGTCTGAGTCTGGGTGACCAGGTTTGAAACACACTGCACTGTGGGGGTTTGTTTTCACTCCTCTCCCTGTCTCTCCTGTGTTACATTTCAGGTCTGCCAGCTGGTGATGGATGAGTCTGACGAGGACTTTAGTTTATTACAGGTTGACCATTAAGATGAGAAATGTAAATACTTCATTGAACAGATTACATGCAATGCATTTTACAGATTCATCCATTTTCACTATGAATTGTCCTTGTATCTCTTTGGCCACTTGGCTATTGTCCTGTGATTGTGAGAAATGCTTAGAGCTGAAACAACAGTATTTAACTGGTCAGATTGTTTAGCAGAGCAAGTGGTCATTAATTCAAAGTGCCAGAGACTAGAGACAGTAGCTGTCTGAGATGTCTGCACTTTGCATTTGTACATTCAGTAAAGCTCTAACCTCACAAACCTGATGGCCTATACTATTCTGCTGTCACAGAACCTTCTCGCAATATACATATGGAATTATAGCAAGTACATACTGCATGCATAATTGCAGACCACCAGATGCTTTTTGATGCTCTGTCTGCACCCTAAAGTATTTTAAGCCCCAGGAAACAGCGAGGTCTCAGCAGCCAATGGTTTTAATTCCAATAGGTGGCATTGTGTTACTGCCCATGGTAGCATTTTACAGTTACCCTGTAAGTACTGTCTTATATAATTAAATGTATCAAACCAAGTAGAAATGTTACAAATCAGAAATAGTCATGTAATAGCCACAGCGTTTGTGAATGAGAGGGAATATAGTCCAATCTTTGCTCTAATATGTAAATTCCCTCTCAGATCATTGTTGAAAGTGTGTATACCGGCTGTTGTTGGTCACCAGCAGCATTTGTGTACAAGTGGTGCAAGTTCTTCAAGAGGCTGCTCTCCATGTGCTGAGTCATCCTCCATCTACACATAGGTCATACCACTTCAGCTTCCTCACTCCCTACTGAGTTGCACTGACGTTGGTTGTGTGATGAAGTTAGAAGGCGGGATGTTTGAGGAGCTTATGCTACAACTTGTGAGGTGGTGATGGTAGGAGTGTGGGGGGATCCCATCTGATTCTGCCTCTGCTGAGCCTCATTCACTGTGTTGAAAACGGAGTAGGCCTAATAAACAAACTAACGGGGTAATTGATTATTTCCACAGCTTTACCACTTGGATTAGATTGAGATACATTTGTAGTGACAGAATATTACATTTACATTTTTATATGAGACATAGACATACAGTTTAAAGTACACTACATAATAATAATAATAATAATATGCCATTTAGCAGACGCTTTTATCCAAAGCGACTTACAGTCATGCGTGCATACATTTTTGTGTATGGGTGGTCCCGGGGATCGAACCCACTACCTTGGCGTTACAAGCGCCGTGCTCTACCAGCTGAGCTACAGAGGACACCTGCTCATCCAACATCTAATTTCAAAATCATGGGCATTATTATGGAGTTGGTTGCCCCTTTGCTGCTATAACAGCCTCCACTCTTCTAGGAAGGCTTTCCACTAGATGTTGGAACATTGCTGCAGGAACTTGCTTCCATTCAGCCACAAGAGCATTAGTGAGGTTGGGCGATTAGACCTGGCTTGCAGTCGCCGTTCCAATTCATCCCAAAGGTGTTTGATGGGGTTGAGGTCAGGGCTCTGTGCAGTCCAGTCAAGTTCTTCCACACCGATCTCAACAAACCTTTTCTGTATGGACCTCGCATTGTGCACGGGGGCATTGTCATGCTGAAACAGGAGAGGGCCTTCCCCAAACTGTTGCCTCAAAGTTGGAAGCACAGAATCGTCTAGAATGCCATTGTATGCTGTAGCGTTAAGATTTCCATTCACTGGAACTAAGGAGCCTGAACCATGAAAAACAGCCCCAGACCATTATTCCTCCTCCACCAAACTTTACAGTTGGCACTATGCATTGGGGCAGGTAGCGTTCTCCTGGCACCCGCCAAACCCAGATTAGTCCGTCGGACTGCCAGATGGTGAAGCGTGAATCATCACCAGAGTTTCCACTGTTCCAGAGTCCAATGGCGGCGAGCTTTACACCACTCCAGCAGACGCTTGGCATTGCGCATGGTGATTTTAGGCTTATG